GGTGAGTGAGTGGCATTGGCAGGCTGTCAATCCCTCACCGGAGCGGCCATCAAACAACATAAAGCACACACAGTCACCGGGCGGCCGCGCTCATAAATCCCCGCCGGCTGATATTTTTGCACGTTGCTTTGCACAGAGTGTGTAATTAATTTTTTTACAGTTCTTTCCCCTCGATTTCCGCTCTTTTCTTTGCACGAGTTCAAACTTCTGATCGCCGCCGTCCCCCCGCGCACAGACTCGGGATCGTTCGTTATTTTTGGGGGGAGGGCCATTAATTTTTCCCTCTGTGATTGTGTTTTCGTGGCGTTTTTATGTCGCGATCCGGGGTGGGGGCCGCTCGGTTTGTTGTGGTTTTTGCCCTTTCCACCCTCCCAACTTCTGCGGGATTTGAAAGCAAGTTTTGTGATTTTGAATTTTTTTTTTAACTTTTTTTTTTTTTTTTTTTTTTTTTTTGCCTTTTCGCTAAGAAGATTTTTGGACAAGTGGGGAAAGACATAGAAAGCTACAATAAAAATAATAATAAGGAAGGATAATAATAATATTAATAATAATAAAAAAAAGCTTTGGAGGAAGATCGTTCCAGGGAGAGGCAGCGGCGGAGCGGCGCAGCCCGGCCCGGCACAGGCATGGTGCAGACGGGAGAAGACCGTAACTAAAGGAGAGCGATTGACCGCGCCGGGAGGGAAGAGCGTGGGATCAGCCGCCGACAGCGCTCCCGGCACCGCCGCCGCTCCTTCGGCCGCCGTCGTCCTTCTGGGTTTTTGCCTTTTTTTTTTTTTTTTTTTTTTTTGTGCCGTGTGAGCGCGGAGCGAGCGGCGGGGCCGAGGCCGGGCGCGCAGTGCCCCCGCGGCGCGGGGCCATGGACGAGCAGTCCCGCATGCTGCAGACCCTGGCGGGCGTCAACCTGGCGGGGCACTCCGTGCAGGGGGGCATGGCCCTGCCGCCTCCCCACGGACACGACGGGGCCGACGGCGACGGCAGGAAGCAGGACATCGGGGACATCCTGCACCAGATCATGACCATCACCGACCAAAGCCTGGACGAGGCGCAAGCAAAGTTGGTGTCTCGTTACGCCTTGTCTGTCGGTGCGCGTGGGGCGCGCAGCTCCGGCCCGCGGAGCGCTCGGGAGAGAACTTCTGGCGCCGGAGGAGCCCGCAGGCGGCCGGGGCGCGGCCGAAGCGCTGTTTAATGCCTTTTGCCACGCAACGAATGCGGGAGCGGGCGGTGCTCGAGCCGGCCCCGTCCCGCGCGGCCCCGCGTCTGTCTGTCTGCCTGTCCGTCTGTCCGCGTGCCCCGGGCCGGGCCGCAACTTTCCGCGCCGCTCCCCCGTGCCCGGCGGGCGGGAGATGGATGGGGCGCCGCGCAGACACCGCCGCGGGGGGAGAGCCGCGGCCGTCCTAAATCACCGCCGCACAAAACAAAGCGCAGCGCGGCCCGGCGCGGGCCGCTCCGCAATAAATCACCCCCGGACGGCGCTGATTTACGCCGCGCGCCCCGGGGCCCGGCCCGGCCCGGCCCTGAGAGGAGCCGCCGCGGAGCCGCACGGAGAGCCGGCCCCGCTCGGGCCGCTGCTGGCGCGGGCCGGGGCCGGTTTCGGAGCCGGTTTCGGGGCCGTTTCGGGGCCGACGCCGGGCTCTGCGGGCGGCCTGGCGGCGCGGCGCGGCGGGCGCCATGTTCGCGGCGGGCGCTAACGCCGTGTGTGCTCTCTTGCAGGAAGCACGCGCTGAACTGCCACAGGATGAAGCCCGCGCTCTTCAGCGTCCTCTGCGAGATCAAGGAGAAAACAGGTAAGGGCCGGCCCGCGCCGCAGCCATCTTGAGCCCTCCTCCGCCGCGCCTCGGCGCTGCCGCCAGCGGCTCGGCCGCTGCCCTCCGCCGCCCGCGGGACGCGCCCCGCCCGGCCCGGGATACCGGCATGCGGCGGCCCCCGGCAGCGTCCTGCCGGGCCCCGGATCCGCCGCGCACGGCGCCACTGGCGCCGCGCGGGAAGCGCTCAGGAGGGACGGGCAGCGCCGAAGTGACGGATGCGGCCGCGCGCGGAGCGGCTCCGAGTTGGCAGCTCGGGGTGCTGTTTTAAATACCGAAATTATATTCGGTGCACATCAATTTTTTTTTTTTTTTTCTGTGCTACATTAATGAGACGGAAATGAATGCCTCGTTTTTCTTGAAGGCATTTTTTTAAGGGATTTTTGCAAATTTCTTACATCGCTGAATGCGCAGAGAAATTTCTTTTTTAAAGAACACTGGTGCACTGGTTTGCTTTCTCGCTGTGTTTGGTGCTCCAGTGCAGCCCTCCTAGTTGCAGACTGAAAAGAAAGGGGTTACAGAGGGAAGCAGCCGCCGTGTGCACGCAGCAGAGCTCAGAGATGCCCGGAGCGCGGCTCTGGTGCATTTGGTGCGCGCTGTGCACGGGCTCCTGTGCCGCCGGGTCCCACTTCGGCTCTGCTACTGGCTGAGGGCTGGATATTGGCTGCGCTGCGAATATTAAGATTGATTCCACTTTATACTGCGTGACATTACCTCGGATGAGGAGAGCGATCCCCTCTGCCTCCCCCCTGCCTGCACGGTGCCCCTCCGTCCACAGCTCCTGTTTGTTTTCCTTCCCCGAACTTCGTGCCTGTGCAGCAGAGCTGGCAGCAGCCCCTGCTTGTGCTGAGCTGGAGCGGCGCGGGTCCTGGGGTCCTGCAGCCCTGTGTGTGCGGGGGGCTTGGGGAGCACAGCCAGCCCGTGGCAGGGGTGACTCCGGAACACCCCAGGCTGTCCGGGGGTTGCTGCTGTCAGCGAGTGTTTGCTGGGGCTGCTATTCGTGCAGAAGTAAGAGGGAACCTGAGAAGATTTTGAGATTTGAAATGTTTTTAGTGTTTCAGTGACAGTGTGTGAGTTGAGATTCTACCTTTGTGCTCCAAGCAGCCCAGCCAAGTTTGCAAGTTGCCTCTGGTAGAACAGCTGAGAACCCACAGGGAAAGGGGGGGACCCCTGGGGAAAGGAGGGTGCCTGCCAGCCCCAGCAGCACCTGCCCAGGGTGTGGGTTGTGGCAGACAGGAGCTGGATCTGGGGGATGTGCATCCGGGGCTGCTGGAGCTCTGGTGTCAGCATGGCTCTGATCAGCATGCTGCAGCACCGAGAGCAGGAGCACAAATCCTGGCATATCTCCTGTAAACTGTTTTCATAGGGAACAGATCAAACAGTTCTGAACTGTGAGGACAAGCAATCTGAGAGGCAGTTAAAGCAAGGGTTCTCCCTCCCCTCGTTGTCTGCATTGTGTCATGGTCCAGGGAACCAAACTGGATTGTGCTTTGGGATTCAATGCTTTTTCATCAGAACCGAAGTTTACCTTGGTGCTGGCAGTAGGATCTGTGTGATGGCTTCGTTGCTCCCTTCTGAGGGGTGAGAACGGAGCCTGCAGCCGGTGCACAGCGTGCAATCGCAGTCGTGTCTGCTCTGAAATAAGGAATGCAATATTTAAGTCATATTTATGTTGAATTATATCCTTTTTTTATATTTTGGTAATGTTCAGTACAGTCAGTGAGTACTTTGTGAGGGCGGCAGCGAGACAATAAGTGGAGGAATCCCCAGCTTAGGTCGAGCAGCGCTGTCACGTCCCAGCATGAGTTAATGGATGCATCGCATCTGAAGCCTTTTTGCTGTGCTCTTAGGGTTAGGCGGTCGTTTTTTTTCCTGTGAGGTGTTGCCATGTACAAAGCAAATCACTGTGCTCACCGAATTTAGCCTGACATTTCTTTTTTAACATTTTAACATTTAAGAAAGTGCTGCATAATATACTTAAAGGCTTTGCAGATATTAATAGAAACGTGCATTCTTAGAGGCAACCACAAGGTAGCATGGTTTTCATGAAGAAACTGAGTGCCACTCATTTCTTTAATTAGTTCAAGGAAAAATGTTGCCTGAAGTTCTAGTGAAGCCCCTCCGGTACACATGAAGACAGGCGGCCGGGGGCCTGCGGGCTCCCGTTGCTGCGCTGTGCCTCTGCCAGGGGCCACTCAGAAGCCCTGGTGCCGCACTCGGGGCGCGCAGCATCTGTTGCATTCCTGAGTGTCCGTCTGTCTCGGCGCCCACCAGCAGCAATCCAGAACCGAGCTGCACCGCTGTGTTTTTTAATCGCTCCTATTTGTGCGCTAAGCATCCTTCGGATCTGTGCTTTGATTAATCCTCCGTTAGCTCACCGCTGTACCTGAGGTACTGGTTATTCTCATGGAGACAGAAATGAAAATGTTTTAATTCTTACAATCTTAAAACAGTTAGGGAACTGCGATTATTTACCAGTGGGATGACATAGGAGTATGTCTGCAACTGTGTTGATAGATGATTTTTTTTGTCTTCAAAAATCTTTTCTATGGGTAGGAGCTAATAAAAAAGACATTTATAAAAATGTCTGAGTGCAGCTATGCAGTCACAGATACATTTATTTATTTATTTGCGTAAGTCCAACAAAAACAATGATAGCTGCCAACCAAAGCCTGATTTACTGTCACCGCAAACCCTAAATAGCATTCATTTACTAGTAAAGCCTAATGGCATACATGATGGTTTGCCAGATTTGTGGCCTTTGTGAGGCTTATAAGCAGGACTGACTTGGGAAGATCATAAAACTTAATGAACTTCTCGACTGCAGGAGGTGTCCGCAGGGGGAGAAAAGGCCTGCTCGGCTGGTTGGGCTGCTTGAACTATTTTTTATGTCTAAGGAGAGAGGGAGAAAATGTTCATTAAGAACGTTCTTCTCTTGTACAGAATTTTGTTTTAAAAATGAAAAGAAAACTAGTAGGCCAGACAAATAGTGAAATTAACCACAACGTTCATTTCTTGCTGTTCTTCATGTAAGCTAAAACATTTTTGTTGCTTTAACTGAAAGCTGCCATACAGAGCTGTTCGGAAGATTAAAGGTCTGTATCGTGCCCTTACGTGCTGCAGAGCTCATTATTGATGAAAATGGCCCAACTCTTTCAGAAACACCCCTTGTCAATATGCTGCACCATCTGTAAGCTGCCTGATAGGTGACTTGCTGAGAAGAACTCGCTTTTTGCCTCTCCTCCTACAAAAATTTAAGATATTAACCCCTCTTTTCACTTTTTTTTTTTTTTAATTGCAGCACAGTATCATTCCCTTGTGTTACATAAATTTCAGCTTTTCACTGCTGGTAAATCATTATTTAGTGCAACTAACTTGCAATAATTTATAATAATATGCAATCCTAACCATCCTATCTGAACGTTAAAGGAGTCAAATGAAACAGTGAAACAGCACTGACAGCACACATGTACATGTATGTGTGTGCGTATGTTAGCCAACTGTGCTGTTATTGTTTCTCAGTTCAGCTGTTTAAAACCCTGAAGTGCAGTCCTGGTGCTATTTTCAAGATGCTGAATACCTATTTCTGATGTACCCTGATTGCACAAGGAAATAATAACCGTGTGTTTGTGTGCATGCATCTTTTCTTCAGTGTAATTGTTTAGCTTTTGTTTCCTTTCTTGTGCTTCATGTCCTAAATTTTTCCTTGAATCATCGGTTCTACTTCTGAATGGTATTTTTTAAATTGTCAGCACATGTGTTACAAATGAAGACATGCGGTAGAATATTGGGTTGGTTACACTGTCCTTATGGCAGAGGCATTGCTTTTCTTCATTAATGTCCTTCTAGAAAAAAACAAATTGGATAAATATCCCGTGTGTCATTTGGTCATCTGGTTCAAACGTATTCACAATCACAGTTCTCCCTTTGGTGAATTTCTAACAGGGCGCTTCCTCTGCAGGCAGCCATGGCGATCATTTTCATTAGACAAAATTGGGGTACTTTGTCTTGCAGAATCTGTACCTGCAGCGTGCCTTCAGAGCACAGCGCTGCTAGAGCGCCTTGCTGCATTTCAGCAGCAATCTGAATAGATGTTGATTACCAGATCTGTACTTCCAGGTGTTGGGTATTTTTGCCCTCCGTAAAGGATAAACGTGGATGCAGTTGTCAATACTCATTTAAGTAGGAGCATTTTTTTTTGTAGCTTTTTAAGGTCCTTCATTTTATTTTTGAATTTGACGCATTTGCTTGCTTATCAGAAAATAGTAAATTCTGGGAGTTACCGTGCGGTTTGTTTTAGGGGCTTGTTGTAAGTATAGGAATTTTTGCATTGAGAGATAAATTACAATAATAGCACACATTGAATGCAAAAGAGACCCTTTTTGCAGGATTTAACACATTTATCAAACTCTATTCCTAGTGCTTTCAATGAAAAAGTTGTACGATACGGATATTGCGCTGTCGTTTTTCAATTTAAATATTGATTTGTGTGAAACATTAATATAACGATACTTGCAGTCTACTGTAGACAAATATCAGCAGAATTAGATGCACTAAATTGTTGCAAATGTAATACAATATTTAAATACATAGAAAGGCTATATTAATAATTATGTAGCAGAGAAAGAGAGTCCGGTTTGTATCCAGACTGCTTTGGAATTCCTCGCACATGATGCGTGTGAGGGTATGATGAATATTTTTATTAATAATAAGAATGGATCCTAAGTCTGTGTACTGCTGAGTCAAAGTGAGCACAGAGCTCGGCAGAGTTCTCCTTTTCTGGTATGGTTGGTGGAACTGGATGGAGCTTGTTTGTGTGCCACCAATTGACGCCCCGAGAAGAATGCTTTGTTTGTTTTCTCAGCAGTCATGTTTAATGCTATTCGCTTATCAAGGTGATCAGCGTGGTTCAGATAACACATGCCTGACACAGCCTGCCTTTTTTCACCATCATGTTGACCTTTTGTCACATTTGCTTTTCT